CACCTATAAATAGGTTAATTTATGCAAATTAGTAACCATATAATTTAAATGTAAACTAAACAAGTATAGGGCTTATCCCCAAACACTGTTGTGCCAAGTTGATGAGTAGTTGAAATATTCAAATTTGCTAATTAATATGCAAATTATCTAATGAATATGCATGAATTTCAATAAAAAAACATCTGGTTTGTACATTATCCCAATGAATCTATGTACCAAGTTTCATTGAAATCTGTTAAATGGTACATGAGAAACGAGTGTAAATGCTTAAAATTTGGCTAATTAATATGCAAATTAGGAGATTAATTATTCAAACATTGTAACCCAAAACTAATCAGGTTTGTGCATTATCATAGACAACTAAGTGCCATCAAAATTTGTTGAGTAGTTCTAAAGAAAACACTGGCTAATTAATATGACAATTAGGTCATTAATATGCACAGTTTCAACCAAAAACCAAACAATCAGTCTGTGCATTATTCCAGACCATCTTTGTATCACGTTTCATTGAAATCTGTTAAATAGTTCTTGAGAAAAAAGTGAAAAGTCTTAAAAATGACTTGCAACCCATTATATAGTAAATAAATAGGAAAGTTGAGAAACAGGTTTTTCAAATTCCTAAAAATCAGGGAAAAAATAAACATTCACAGGCAAGTGATTCGTTTGGGCAACATTAAGCCAGCCGCTAACAAAATTCAACTAAATTTGTAGTTTTTGTGTGGAAAAATCCCTTGCATACGAACACCTAATTACACAAAGAAACACTTTCCCCAGAGTTTTGAAACCAAAATCATCATCCAACTCAGAAGCCAAGCAGCGACAGCATTACAGTTGAATGATGATTTTGGTCATCATTGGTTTAGGCAAGTTTGTGAAATAACATTGCATGTACGGGTAGATAGAACCCAACATGAGTACATACCTGGATAAGATCAAAACCCATAGCTTTTAGGTGTCTGATTTGCATATCTTGTCTGGATAACAGCATTATACTTTTATGAGTGTAGTATAGCTTGTCTTGTACTAGAACAATAACACTATGAAAGAAACAAGTCAAAAAATGAGAAGAAAAACATATATTATATTAAACATCAACTGCACTCTGTGATGTCACTGGTTTGTGTTCTTATCATTTTTAAGCATCAAATGCATTCTCTGATGTCACTGGTTAGTAAGAAGTTAGATTGATGCCTACATATAATTTACATGGAATGGTATTTAGATTACATTACAAAGTTACATTGCCTAACATATACATTTAATAGTCAATATTTAGTTTCTTCACTCTGAACTGTTTTTTTTGCACTATTTTTAGCGCATCTCCAACAGAAACACACATAAATCAATAATTGCATTTATTATACATTTGTATACTGGGTATTTTGCTAAATGTTTAAATTATACAATGTCAAGCACGTCACTGGTAGCATAGTGGTTGTCGCATCAGACTCATGATCGGTAGACCCAAGTTCAAATCCTACCTTAGGCTGAACATCAAAGGGTCGACCCCTACCTTCGTGAGTGTGCCACAGACTCAATGGGAAGGCCAATCCCACTGGCCAAGATTCATTCACTAATGAATGCGACTTTGGGAGAACCTTGGTTAAGGTCTGCAGGTGCTTGCATGGTTGATGTCATGATAGCGCATTCAATTGTCATTTGATAGGAAGATGGCCGTACAGCCCTGTCATGTAGTCACACACATGAATGTGACTTTTGTGGCAAAAATGCACTATGTGTCAGCACTTGCAATTTGCACATACAAAAATAAAGTCAGGAGAGACAACAGTGACATTCAATGTCCCAAACTGTCGCCTGGCACAAAAATTTTACAAACCTGTTTGTAAACCTGTTTGAAATAGTTTCCAACACACATGGATTCATAAACATTCTCAACTTACAAAAGTCTACGAGCCAATCCTGAAATATTTTTTTCCCTTCTAAGCCAAAATATTAATATACTCACCGTCTAAAATAGTCTGATTTTGCTGCTAGTTGCCATGGCAACACATTTTGTTTATCAACAAATTCCATACTCTGCTGGTTCTCAATCTCATCCGGTTGTTCAAATTCAAACTCTTGCTGCTCTTTCAGAAGATAATCCGAAGAATCTTTCTTTTGATAAACTGCTGATGTAGTCTCATCATCAGAATCCGATTTCTCCGCATTATCATTATTTGAAGTGCTGTTCTGGAATATCAGACCAAAAGGATTCATTATTGGCTTTTTTCCATAAGTTGCGTAAAAGGCATCGCTGCCAACGTTGCAATTATCATCGCTATCATAAGCAGCATTTTTGCTGTAAAAACCCTCATTTTTGGTCAGGTTTCCATCATCAGATTCATCACAATATCCAGCATTATCTGACCCTTCTATTTTATCAATAGCTTCAGGTTCTTTCACTAAATACGGATTAAGACTTCCCTGCTGAAACAGATTGCCAGCAAACTGTTTGGATAAATCAGGTAATGACATCGTATTGTTTTGCTGTTGATTGGTGAAACCATGTACTAGTCTTTGATTGGATAATGTTTCTGAGGTGATTTTAAGATCATTCTGTTGGGAAATTACCTTTCCCTGAACAGCGTCAATATCTGGATCTGCAACAAAATCTTTGACAGGAAGAAAATTGCCATCCTCATCAAGGAAAAACTCAAAATCTAGAACAAAGGAAAAGAATGACATGAACACTGAGGGCGCTATACCCTTTCCTTATCATAATACAGGTATTTTTATAAGACCTGGTTGTGTTATTAGGACCAATGAAGACGATTTTGCAACAAAACATTTAAAATGTTATCACTTGTACATATTCTAGTTGAGAGACATCGTTAGCTAGTATCCTTCGTGAACTGAAGGCGAGTTGATAATTTACATGATGGTAAAGGTATCAACCATCTCTACGAATACATGATACATGTATCAAGTTATAATCTATTTATCACATGACCAACTCAAAAGGTCAAAACGGAAGATTTTTTTATATTTTACTGAACTACACTTATGAATCATATGCTAATTTATGCTAATTAGACATGATGTTTAAGTCTGCCAATCAAAGCACACTTGCAGTTATATATGAATCATGTAAGGAACGACGTCAAAAGGTCGATGTCGGATAAAAAACTTAATTCCTTTAGTTTTTTTCCAAACCCCCCCACTGAAACTTAATTGGTAAATATTGGTCATGGCGTCAGACTACATTCACCATTAAATACAAGTTGATAATCGGACAGTAGTATTGCATAGCAGTTGGCTGTCGGGGGTGTAAAAAGATTTTATAAATGCACCTCATTTGACGCACAGATTTACACTCGAAACAAACCATTTTTCTGTTTTTGTTTTCCTTTTTCAGCTATTTCTGTCAATGATTGGATAGAAAAAAAACGAGCTACAAATACTCCAAGATTTTTTTGACTTCATTAAAAAATAAAATCGTTTTTGTAGGATGGAAACTTTTTGAGGTCAAAACCCCCCACCCCCAAACTAAAGGAAATAAGTTTTTTTATCCGACATCGATTTTTTGACGTCGTCCCTTAGTAGTTCCTGCTATCTGATCTCAGCAATGAAAATGATTCTGTCGTACTTTTCGGTTTTCTCTGTGTATTGTTAAAGCACTCACATAAACTAATGACGTTTAGCATACATAGCCACATTTGGTGTGAAATAAAAGTTAGTGATATTTCACACTCGACTACAGTGATCGATGGTCATGTGATACTAGAATATTAGACACACATGATGTGACATAATGTAATGTATTCACCCAAATACTCATAACTATAACATAATATCACATAGCAATATACATTGCTATTTTCAGAAAAATTCGTCATTGGTATAAGTCAAGGGTCTGATAAACATCGACATTTTGAATATTACTCTGGTAAATAATTATTATGCCAACCCACGTATAAAAGTTACAATGTCATTTTTATAAGTATTCAGAATTTTAATATTCAAGTGGTGATATTATTTATAAGAAATTATTTAATTTGGTCAATTAGGTACCTCCTTTGTGGTACTTACCTGCTCTGTAACCAGGCAACAAGACAGGTCTGTAGTTGTAGAATTGCGTACCAGTCGTTATCTTATCCATACACGTTGTCACGTCACGTAAATGTTGAGACGGTTTGAATCGATCTTTTTGACTATAAAATGCTGTTATCTGAGAAAAATAAATAGGAATATAGTAAATATACATCAAATCAGAATGACTTCAGACAATACACAAAAAGCAGAGTTTTTAACCTCCTGGCGAGTTTTCTGATTGTGCTGTGACGGAAACAGGGAAGGATAAATTTAGAATCAATCATTTGTGACTCCACTTAATTCATTTTTTTCACAAATTGAATAGACTTTATTATTTTATGAAGGGCTTTGGAAAGGCAATCAACATTCTTATGAGTCACAACAAATCACTGAAAACACACAGAAAAATAACACATTTACGGTTTAGATTGTTACATATGATGCATTTCACATCACGTGCTATGCTTATGTCAGTTCTAGTTTTGACATATCATATCGCAATTTACACAATAGCTTGAATCAAGGAACTAATCAAAGTGATTAACTGACAGATCAAATAATACTAAAAGAAAACCCTAGCCTTCAGTAGAGGTATAACTGCTGACGCCATCTGAAAGTGAAAATTACCAGTACCCCCATAATGATATTTTTTGGCTTCATTTAGTACATCTATCCCACTACACTAATCAACCAATCACTGTTCATAGACCTCAATTTAAATGCCTTCCAAGAACCAATGAAATTTACAGGTGTACAGTATAGTGCTGTTTGAGGGCGTACATCACCTGGGTCAAAGATGAGACTAACATGTGGTCTTTTGTTTACTAATTAGTGGCTGTGTACCTGTGGGTTTATTCTGTGTGTATTTGGATGTTCCAATCTTGGTGTTTTTCCAGTGATTTCTCTATGTGCAGTACCACTACAGTAGGTATGCCTTGTTTATCTCAGTTTTATCAGAGCTTGAGCTGGCCAATATATGTTTTTTTTATTTTATTCATGTGGTTGATTACTGGCATGTTGATTTCCCATTTTTTTAGAGCCATGTTGCCGACTTTGACATTTTCATATAGATATCTGCTCATATGTTAACATTGTTGTCTATCAATTAGTGGTACGAGTCCTATAGCCACCCAGGTTTACTAACCACCATATGATGCAACTATAGCCACTTACTTTGATATCGTCAGGAAGTCTAGCCCCATTGTATGCTGGGTAATCCAACTCAATTGCCTTGTCAAGTATACATAGTTTGGGTTTCATGTCGTCAAAGCGATAGGCACCGCTATCTGTTGTAAGACAAGATACATTACTGTTACAAATCATGTTTAGGTGTATTTAATGTAAATTTCATGAAGGTATGATTGGTAATTAAGAAAATTTATGACATATGTCTAAAAAATTTACTGGTACTTTGGAAGACTCTAATACATCTTTCAAATTTAAAGTTTACATTTTTATTGAGAATAGAAGCTATTTGGTAATGTCCATTACCCACAAGTTTTCGTGGGTGCTGGTTTTCGTTGGACGATTTACTGACGCATATTTGTCAAAGAGCGGTGGTTTGTGCGACTGATTTACCCATAATCCAATGCGTTCTTCTAATGGAAATCACAAGTATGATTTTGACCTGGACGCGAATTGCACTGATTACCGCCGGTGACTCCTTCGATACCTTTCAATTACCTAATAAAAGCTTGGCAACGTCTCAGTTCGTACTCGTTGGTCTTTGCAAGAGTCAAAGTCGCCATCATTTGTTTATATGAAACCCATATATCTGGTGCATGCGTGTCTCAATGACCATCTTTAATGTGTTCAATCATCATTTGATATTTTTAAAACATTTGTTTTGTTTATATCTTTACCAGACTATCGCATAATGTGACGTAGTCGACTAACAATGACGCTATCCATAAGTCTTATTTGACTTTGAGGTCGCATCTCATTAACCTGAAGTCAGTAATAAAGAAGACAGTCATCCGCTTCAGTCAATTATCTGTTAAAGTTGTACTGTCGATAACATTTAATTGAAGGCCTTCCAATTTTGAGCAACTTGGCAAAAAGATCAAAGCTTAAAGTTGAAGACATACTGATTGAATCCTGATGCACCACAACATTTATCAATTAAGTCGATTTGTCTTCACTACAATAATTTTTATCAAGCATTACTGTTCCTATTCTACTTTTGGAAGCAAGCTGAGCACAAGTTCATTTTGATGCAGTGGTAACATGATTAAAACTGTCATTTTTAGATAAATTGTTCAATGGTTTTAGAGAAGATACGTCACAGCAAACTTACTTGACAGATTCTCTAAGAAATTTGGTGATAGAAGATTGCTTAGCAACGCTGAGAAATGACCCATCTGAATTAACGACAGCATCACATTAACTGTCGCCATGGGAGACAACCAAAAATGTTTCTGCATCATCTGAGAATATAAGGTTTGTAGAGTTGTATTATATTTGGCAAAGGAAGAAATATCGCATTCACACAAATAATGCAAAATGGCGACTGTATTCATCATTGACACAACAGGTGTACAAAGGAATTTTTCTGTAAATAGAGACAACATCCTGGCCAATTTGTTTTCGAAAATCAATGCAGATAATATAATATTATATTTTATCAACAAGAAGATAATATTATCTCATGAATATATTTGTCAGTTTTTCAGATTATCATGCTACTATTGGTCCAACATACAGATAGATAACAAATTTCATTAAATCAACTACATTCAACCTTTTTACCACTAGTTCCCTCTTTTTATTACAAAATAATCTTGTTTATAGTCTGCACTTTCCTTTGGAAGATTTGAAAAAAAAAAAAAGCCAAATTTTTAGTAAAAACTAAAAAGTGACTAAAATGTTGGCTCCAAAACTAAGGTTCATTTCAAGCAATATTTTGAAGAATATGAGAGAAAAAAAGGCAGAAAAATTTGGGCAATGAAGTCTGGTGATGAAAAGGTAAAAACATACCAGTTGGAAATACATGTAAGGATGAACAATTACTGATAAAAAAAAGAAAATTATAATTTGCATTCTCACCTCATCAATCTTGGCGAACAATTGCGAACAATTTTTTGGCAGGTAGTTCAACTTTCCCAGTGGCAGTAACAGTCGCTGCAGATCGGCAACTTTCAGACGAGAAATGTTGTCGGTGATGAACTCGGAGATGGCGTCCAATAACATTGTGTCCCTTACAGCGTGCCACGAAACATAGCGATTTATAAGACTGATTGTCGACAAGTCTAAAGTCTTGAAATGCTGCGGCATTTCACAACACAGTGTGTGGATAAATTCCTCGTGTGGGAATTGAAAGAATGTGCGGTTATGGAGTAGCGACTCCAGCAGCACCTGGTCATCACTTTGAATTCCCCACTGTAGGCAGAATGATGCTAAATTACCAATTTTAAGAATATCGTGAATTACCGGAGACTTGTTATATCGTAAAAATACCTCCAATATAGGGGTGACACGCTGACTCAAGATTTTCAACTCAGTTTGATGATCGTCACTGCTTTTTTCAGTCAATTCGTTAAATTTCTTCTCATAATAACCCAACAAAGGGACGAGTATTCTCCCATTGGTTATCTGATTTAAATGTGACTCAATACGATTAACGCAAGAATCAATTAAAGCTGTATTATCCACTTTAAGAATAATAAGATATTCTAAAAGTTTTGATACATCGTGAACTGCAAAGGCAGGAATTCGACGACTACACTCATTCACTAACGCTACAAGTAAAGTCATATTATTCGCAACACCAATTGACTTCAGACATTCTACAGTTCGTAAAAGATTCACGTTGCTCAACGTGCCGCAGTTTAATGCTAGTTTATCGGATATTTGTTGAAATTCACTGGTATTGATAAACTCATACCCTTCATTGTTCTCGTCGCAAACTTCTACCGCGTATCTAATACCGATCGCTAAGTGATGTGGGTATGCCTTAGTAGGGTTCTGGGAAATAACTCGGAATATATGCGGCACATCGTGGCACTGCAGAATGATACGCAGCATAGTATCTGGTTGGTAGAACCTTTTTTGTATATATACTGAAGACACTCCACGTATATGTGGTTGCCATAGTGATGGTTTCCATGACACTGTTGATGTTACCAGTCTAGTTGTTTTAGGCCTTGCAATAAAACAATAACATGTTCTCCCGAGTTGAAACAATCCTCTCACTGCTAACATTTTCATACAATTCGAAAATGACAAATTTCTGAAAATAAACATTAAGCATTACTACAATTAAATTTATAATAATTTATAAAAAATAAATTTATAATATATAAATATCATTTAGAACTCAACATGGCAGTTGAAAACCATTCGACCAACCACAGCAACTGTAATGTTTATATCACTGCTGTGGATGAACCTAATTTTGAAATTTAGATTCATCCAATCAGCAATCAGCATTCAGCTTAGAGGGCGATACATATGTGCACCCCAAGTAAGCCATCATGCAACACAAGCGAAGTGAGTGGATACAACCAGACATCCGACTACCTCTACGACACAGTGCTGGATCACAGGGGCCTGGCGATCTGTATACGTATTGTTCTTATTGGTTGCTGAAGTCATTACATAAACTTCTTTGGGGGGAAGAAAGAATATGTCCAAATCCAATAGTTCACGGTGATCAGGCAGAAAAAATATTAGTCACGGTGTTTTAGGGGATCGAGCGTGGATGAATAAATTTGTTTGTAATCTTGAATTACATTACGTACTGTTTCAATTCTATAATTTGTTTGAGCTAGGATAAAGAACGTATCGGGACATAGACGTCCATGTATTATTAGTAACCAACCACACTATTACATCTTTATGCTTCTGTGTGCTGGATGTAAATCCAACCTCATACAACTATCTCAGTATCTGTGATCCAACAGTCACACAGCATGCGTTTTACTCAAATACAGAGTGTATTATCTGACAGCTTTCAACACCGGGCATTGCTGTCGAAACTGTGAAACTGCACATACTAATAAGAACAAAGCAAATCGTCATATTCCAACTCACCTCTGAATCTTGATTACAGCTCCACAAAGTGATAGGAACACATGGAATCAAGGCTCGGGAATTGACAACACGTGAAACGCACTCAGCTGATCACAGCAATAGCGCCCTCTAGGTGACGTCAAAGTGCAGAGGTCACAGTCAGGTCATTGTTTATAAATGGCGAACCACGAAGAGAAGCAAGTACCCAAATTGTCAGATATATTCGATAGTGCTTGGAAAATTCACATTGAATTAGAATCTAGTAATGATGCAACGAATAGTGACGGTTATCAGGTATGTATTTTCGTCGACGACTTGGACCATTCAATTTTCGTTTTTCCTGGTCTTAGATTTTTAGGTAGAATTAAGAAACCTACTCTTAGTTATTGAGTATTTTGGTCATAAATTGCATGATAATGTTCATTAGTTTATTTTGTAAAATCACATAACTATTGTCTCATGACACCATGAAATAGCATTCTTTTGTGTTTTGCGGAGAAACTAATATTTTGTAAAAATCTCTATTTTGTGCACAATTCCATAGTACACAATGTTAAAGAAAAATATCATTTTTTAAAACCCAGATGACTTTAGAAATTCAGAACAACTAAAAGTACACCATCATTCACAACATACAATTTTTTCAGCCTATTTCACCTATTTTGTTCAATCCTGCCATGGGAACCTATGGTACAAGCGTTATAATACCGACAAAATGGACGCCATCCACTAAAATACAATCATAATTTTCTTAAAAATTAGGCTGGTGATCTCCAATTTTTGTTAAGTCAATATATATCCTTGTATTACCCAGAAGTAATAAGTAAATTCTGAGTATTTGAATTTATGAGTACGTTTCAAGAAATACCATTATCTTTCAATACCCTCGCACGGCAAACTTATTCCCTTATTCCTGAAACAAGAGGTTTGCATCGGTCAATTAAACACAGTTGACGTTTACATGCTCTGCACTAGTTGTTTAACTGATATGCATGTTTTTTTATTTTTCCATGACAGACGAAAGTGAAAGAAGCTATCAAATTATTTGAAAAATGTACTATGATGGTTAGTGAACTCAGTTTTTTAGTGATAATGAAGAAATTGAAGAAGTACCCACATCATCTCTCAAGTAAGAATTAAATGTTAAGTGAATAGAACAGCATTATATTTTTGATAGAATTTTTATGTACATCTATCAACATTATTCCACCATATAAAATGAATTCCATAGTTATCTATAAGTCTTATATCATTTTCAATGTTTTTTTCTCAGTGTGCCCTCTAAGCCAATGATGTGTCATTGATGTCGATTTTTTCGTCACGTGACAAGTTCTGCTTATTCCTTGGCCGGTCGCATTGACTCAATGGAAAATCATACATTGAGAAAATTGCTTCAAAAAACATTTTAAATAATTGAGAAATTTAGAAAATATTATAAACACTTTCTATACAACTTTTATTAACATTCTGTAAAAATCTACATGCGTTTCTTTAAAATATTCTATATAACGTAGTATGACACACAGTATTCTCCCAAAGATACAAACAGCGTGGCTGTATGGCCACAGTGCTTTGTTTTAACTGGTCTGAAACCACTACAATATCCTGACTACCAAAGTGGTTTATTTCCCCCTGTGCTATATTGCTGACTTTTTAAAACAAATTGGTAAAATTCTGAAAACATGTGTGCAGTTATAAGTGAATAATTGAGTGCATTGTGTAATCTTATAGATCACAGTTTCTATTTGGAAAAATTATGCAAATATTATGTAAATGTATGCAAATTAGCATTCAAATTCCTAACGTCACAGTGGCTTAAATTTCTAGGGAGAAAACTGAAAGGAAAGGTTGACAAGAGAAGAAAAGTTGAAAGTGTTAGTAAAATTATAAATTACTTACACTTTGATTTGTTGATAGGTACTTATTACTGCCAGCATTTCTGGGAGATTTGATGCTGAAGCTAACAAGCCAAGATAGATTGTCTCAAGTACAGAAAGCTAGCGTGTATTTCAAAGACTTTTTAAAAAGATGCAAGTGTTATGGTTTAACCACTGAGGTAAGACTAATACATAAAATTCGAGAGTCTGAGAAATCCACATTGCTTTGTGATCTGCATTCACAGTGACAGTTTCTGAATTAATATCCTATTATCATAAAATCCCAAAAATGCATAGCAACACAAATAAAATTGTTTACTACATCATCCATGTGTCATGAATGATATTTACTACAGCTTATAATCATGAGGTTTCAGAGACAAATATATGGAGATGTGGTGCTTCCCAATGTGCCAAGAAATTTCATAAGTACTGTAAATACAGTAAGCATGCTTATAAACAGCTAAAAATGGTAGCTTACAACTCAGACCACTAAAGAATTTAGTGGTCTTAGTGGTCTGAGTTTACAATAAAAAGTCACTGTTACAGAACCACAAGTGACTTTTACTTTTTTTCCCACAAGTTTGACTAGATTTCAAAGAAATGTTGGCATGTGCATGAGTAAACATAAATTTGGCATAAAAACATTGCTATCATGTTAATTTTTTTGAATCATTGAAATGGGCTGAGTTTAATACAATCAAACAGTGAAATATACCAGATTACTGGACCTCTGATCAGACATGTTGACTGTACACTGATAAGAGACATTGTGATCACCTTTGCTGTAGGTCTATTAGTTAGTACGATGTGGGTTTAGAACAAACACTGCATGCATATTGTTTATGGATATTGATTATGAAATACACTATAGGTGTTTAAAGGGGGGTCTTTCAGTTGAGCCTAATCTCACAATAAATTTAATTTCTGGATTAAAATTACAATGGATAACAAAAGATAGATTAACTTTGTAAACAACATAAACAATAATGTTCCATGGTTATTATTCAGATGTACAGAGACTCAGACCACTAAAGAACAGACTAGCAACGCATATTGTTTTAGGTGTGAATTGGAGATCATGTCGGTACGATGCCTGCCACGGCAGACCTTGTTGGTAGTTTATTGACACAAGCTTACCCAAAGATTCTTGAACGTACTCACATTTACCTGCTTCGTGTGTTTTCGTAATGTCATTCTATTGCAGAACGCGCAGGCGCATACTTTCAGATCTAACCTGAAATAACATCTATGTGTTCTGATCATTCCATCGTCATCGTTTCTGTTCCAAATCGGTCAATTTACGGCATTTTTAATGTTTCCTACTTTCGTCTACGATATTTATGAATACATAATGAGCAAATGTATAGTAATATCTCTCGTTACTTTGACTTTTCCCAACATTTATCAAACTTTTTCTATAAAGGTCAAATGGCGGTGTTGGCGTCGACAGTGTTCCTTTGTGTGGACAATTCGTAGTTTTTGTGGACACTGCGTTTGAAAACTTGATATGCTCACGCAACTAAGCGATTGAAGTCATTAAACTACATCTCAACTAATACTACTACCTGTGTACATCTCGCAGTATCTCGCGTGATTTGATGAAATAATAATGGATAACGCGTTATTACGATATAGTCGCGTTAGTTCGATCGGTTGTTTATTGGATTAAAAAGTTAAGCCCAAAATCAAACGTGGCACGCATCTGATCAAAGGAAAAGCCGCATTGCTAGTCTGTTCTTTAGTGGTCTGAAACAGAGATGACAATTTTTTTATTTTTTTTACAATAGTTACATTACTAGCTTGTACAACATGTAAAATAGTATCTTTTGTACTAATCCAACGAAGGTACAAAAATTACATTCAATCAATGTATACAACAAAATTGTTTTCTTAGAATGATTTTTTTTATTGAGGGTTTGGTTATATGCAAATAACTACCGGTAGGCCTATTATTATTTGTTGAGAGTATTTTCAAATTCTCTAAATCTTTATGACGATTTTAATTTTGCAGGACATACCAAATAATCCATCACCATCATCAGACATGTCTGCTGCCAGACCTAATCTTATGGGAATGGCAGCCAACAGAGAAATGAAAATAAAAAGATACAGAGAAAAGAAAGAAAGAGAAGAGAGGCTGAATTCTCTTGGTAGTCCTGTGGATATTACACAGCGAGATGAAGATGTACAGGTACATGTGTAAATAAGGCCTGTTTTTAAACTCCTTGCCAGCACTGGTGTTCATTCTCGGCCAAGTACATGAGATCGTATTGTTTCTGTGTTCTGTAGTTATGGGTTTTGCCTCAATTTCATATACATGTTGTAATTCAGTAAATGATTTGTCAGATTGATCTATTGTAGCTGATTGTAAGATCAATATTTCAACATTGACTTATAAAAAATAATTCAAGTTCAAAATCAAATCATTAAATTTTGTCGGCAAACATTTGGTCCGGTCTTTCACACAATTTGAAAGATCTTGCAGTGAGCAGAAAATGGTCTGTTTTCATCCTGCAATCCTAAATCATTCTGATTTGAATGCAGTGTATCGTCCCACAATGCACTATGATCACTGCCTGGGTAACAGGGTAACTTGAACACATTAATATTAATTTTTCTCTTGGAATTTTGAAGAGCCCCTTGTTCACCTTTACATCACCAGACTTTCTTGCCCAAATTTGTCTGCAACAGAGACAATTTTCAAGTAAATTTTCAGTTTTTACTCACATAATTTGGTGATTTTTGCCCCAATCTTCTGAAGGAAAGTGCAGACTATAAACAAAACTATTTTGTGAATTTGGGGTGAAAAGAGGAAACTGGTGATGAGAAGGTTAATATAATAGTATTTTAATAGAATATTTTTATATTAATATTTTTTTTGAATTATTAATTTGTAAAATTATGTGCATTAATGTATGCTAGTAACTGCAATGTGGTATGCATAAAGAAAGTGTCATCAAGTGTATTTTTATTTTATTTCCCCCTTGTTAACAACATTTTGGGGATAATGCATCTGTAAAAAAATATATTTGTGTATATGCATGGTCTTTACCACAACCTACATTGTATAACAAAGCCCCCTCAATAAATCGTATTTGTCAGCTTTAATTCAGTATTTCATTGGTTTCAGAGAGAGTATTATCTTCTGATTGTTAAAAAATGGATCAGCGACTCACTAGATGAGTATTCCAATGTCCAACAAGAAATAGAAATATTACACCATATGGCAAAAATGAAAAAAATTTCAGGAGATGCTCCACCGTCAGCCACAGCCCCACCACCGACAAAAGGTCGTCCTCCTCCATCTGCACAGGTTAGTATTTATTCTTATGTAATGGTGATCTTTTGTTTTCTCCAACTAGAGAAGCAAAAGAAGTTATGTTTTTGATCTTTGAACAAGCATTTTTCTCAGAAAAAAGAATTTGAATAAGGCAATTAATACCCTGAGATACCAACCAAAATATTAACCACTATTTGCACTTTTTCTTTCTTTTAATGTTGCGCACCCAACTATTCTAATTACTTTGTGATCGATGGCCAAAATATTTCAGTTTTAATCAATTCAAAGTAAAAAAAAATTGGGCCTGCATTTTTTTGGTGGTGCACATCTGACCAAAAACGATTTTTAGAATTGTCGCTGTATTCGACACTACTTGGAAATGTGACCTGGCATAAATGCTAATCAGTGCCCCATTAGCATTTTGTATTTCTAGAAATGTACATTTGTTAAGTAATTTTGTGATAATCTCGCAATTTGCGTGACTTCAAATGGGATCTTTATTGTATATCACTCTAGCTACATGTACCTACCCTTATTTAATAATTCTTTGTTATATAACATATATTGTATTTTTTTACAGCCACTTAAACCATTCATTCTGACTCGTGATGACATACAAGCCAAGGTGTTTGGTGCTGGCTATCCCAGCATTCCTACCATGACTTTAGAAGATTATTTTCAGAAAGAAATAATGGAAGGAAAGATTCAAAACAGGTGAGCATATTTTTAAGGCTCCAGTCATGATTCAATCATTTTCAAATCATTCTGCAGTCAATTTTTTAAGACCATAAATGTATCAAAATCACACAATCATGTTTACCATTCCGGAGCCTGATTTCAGTTGCACATGGTCAGATTTTGTTTAAACATAAAATGAACACAATGGGATCTTGATTCACTTTAAATTATGTTTTTTTTTTTTGATTGGGTCCGAAATGGCCAACTCATAGCCATTTTGTTTTAATGAATGCAGTTCCGGATTAACATCTCTGACTTGACAATCAAGTTCAAACACACATGCATTTTTGTCGCCATCAAATCCCAAATGGTTGACTGGTGGTCATCTTATCTGAAAAAATTAGTTATGCAGAAGCACATCTTGTGCCCGGACCATTCAAGTTTAAAATTCACACATACATCACAAATAAGTCCATATATTTATGAAAGTACATCTTTGTTTCCTGACGACCTCAGCAATATCAATAATATCAGCTTTCAATGTTGATTGATATTATGGATATCACCTATCACCTTGGTAGTCATTCAATATTTCACACCTATATTATAAGCATTGACCCCTAGTGGAATTCCAGCTCTGGTCTACTGATCATGAATACAATGCAACAATCTCTACACTATCGGTGATTGGATTAGCTGCATACATACAGAACATAGGATAGGACTATTAACCATAAAAATAGGGAAAAGGTAAAAATTGGATATGACCAATTTGCCATACATATAATGTGGGTAATGAGGTAATCTACAAACTAGGGTTTCTGTTACATTCACTACTGTAAAACATGTTGATAAAGCGGCATGCAATTTTAGCGAATTGAGGTAAAATGACGTAATAGCGAAATGATTTAGCGAATCTCTCTTGTCATTGTTGATTTTTTATGTTTGGCGGCCATTTTGAATTCATAATAAAGTCATTAGCGACATCTTGAATTAGCGAATCAGTTCTCTCGCTAAATTTGCGAAAACAACATGCTCGCGAAAAAGACATGTTTTACAGTATATATTTTTACAGCAGTGGTGGTCAGCAAACACTCTCAGAAAGAGAAGCTGTTGAAAAAAAAGAAATTGAGAAGGAGAGAGAAATTGAAAGGGATGACGAGGATGCATTAAAAAAAGCAAGACAATGGGATGAGTGGAGAGATGGTATGTACCAGTTGTATTCATTGGCATGTCCACGTACACTCACCTTCCATTCACGTCTGCTCACACATGCTTCTATCAACTAAACACCCTTTTTAACAGATCTTTGAATATCCACTGGCACTGACAGGTTGATTGTAATCACTGACTTCACTGGCTTGTTTTATTATCAGACTTGTATCACTGGTCTGATTGTAATCACTACTAAACATATTTGTGATATTGACTAATCACTACTAATTTGATTTACTAGTTGACTAATCATTTTACACTGATTTGAATCACCAGCCTTATTTTAATCACTAATACACTAACCAGTATTCCTAGCTCGATTGTAATCACTAATATATTGATTTGAATCTCGAATTTGATTGTAATCACTATTACATTGTTTTGATTCACTCACTTGGTTGTAATCATTAGTACATATATATTGATATATATATATATATATATATATATATATATATATATGTATATATGTATATATATATATATACATGTATATATATATATATATATATATATAACAAGGAACTCCTGGCCATCAGAATTATAACTTTGTCCAATTCTTCTTGAGCAGTCTCATCTGGCATATATTAATTTTGATCTGATTTCTTTACAGATCATAGAAGAGGTGAAGGAAATCGACAAAACATGGGATGATTGTGACACGTATACATATAAAGTACTCTGAAAAATAAAAAAACAAACAAACTCAGGCTCAATGTTTATCTTATTTCACATTGGAATGACATCTACATTTGCTTATAGACATATAGTGGTCTGTCAGGAGGAATGTTGCACTTTCAGAATATGTGTTTAGGTTATGGGTGACTGTCCACAGCTTCTCAATCATGCGTTGTATACCCTTATTGTACACTGTGTACTACTACGTATTGACAACATTCACCACTATTAGACAATGTACAGAAAAAGTAATAAATAAATAAATAATGTATGTGTATGTCCTTAATAAGTTTCAGAATATTTCCCTGGGGAAACTCTTTTGAACCGAATACAAATGAATAACATGTAGTTATTCAAATCATCAATCTGCAAACTACTAACTCAAGAACTTTCAAGTTTCAAGAAGTATGCAAAGCACACTGGGATACCAAATTTGAAGTATGACTGCAATTATATTTTATGATAAAGGCAAGGCATTAGTGCAAGGTTAAAACAGGTACAGTTTTGATTCCCCATTTGAATGTTCAGTCTTTGATGTATTGTCAGTCAATATAAAATCTCAACAGAGAAAGTGGATGCCGTCCTTTTCGGCCCAGAGTGGTATAGCACCATATCAATCTGATGTGATCCTAATGGTTAGCATAGCCACCTATCACCAAGAAGATGGTTGGTTCAACTCTTATGGTCGTTGATTGTTCAACAGTAAAGTCAGAGTACATTCTGCCCACTTCCCTGGCTCGCATCATATCTAGTTGGGAGAATGATGTCTTATCAGATGGGAATGCAAAGCTGTTCCTCCAGTGTTCTTTTCCTGTCCTGGACATAGAAAATTTCCTTTTAGTTTTCTTGTCCCAATGAGTAGCAGAATTCCAATGACAGAATAGAACTTACCCTTGTTCCAGATCTGTTATTGAGTTTATCTTCGTAATAAATATACATAACAATTATGTACACTAATTACCCATGGTTAATCTACTCTGGTTCACATTTTTCTGTCTTCAGTGATGGCACATTCCACGTATTGTGTTTACAATCAGTCACACCATTAATGTATTGTGTGACTGAAATAAAATCACGTCACTGAACACAAATGATGACACAGGCACAAATACTTTTTTTGCTGACTTTTCAAGCTGTTGTATCGGTAAATTATCAAGTTATTAAAACAGGAAAAGATGGATTTTAATGTTATCACGGCAAAGATTTGATGAGCTTCATTACCACCAAATATTTTTCTGTTTGGATCTTCTGAATGTTGGATTTCAATCATTGCCCAACATTCAAAGCCGCTTCTGGTTGATGATCCAGCTACTCGTGTATTCCTTCCTCAGATCTCGCATACAGCCAGAGCTACTACCTCAAGGATAAAGGCTAGGTGTTCAATGGTAAATAAAAGCAGCAAGTTACACCAAATCTAATGACAGTGGTGTGAGCACCAGCTAGTCGAATCAAGATAAATTAGATCACCCACAACATTTTTTTCACAGCCAATTAGGGATTTGGAAATAGAAATTCTGCTCAAAGATCCCTATCTGTCCCACCTCCAATCTTGGACATGCCCATCGTCAAACAACTGCAAATGTTCCATGATTCACAAAAGAGAAGTATAAAATGCTAATAGATGGTAGTGTACAAGATTCTGCTTATTTTTCTCCTCTGAGAGTGTTTTCACCAGTTGGACTGCTGCCAGGAGACGAAAAACATCACCTGACACTTGACAAAAGTGAACATCTTATTGAACAAAGACCATCCAGCTTTTTGTGTTTACCCCAGACTACTGCACACTTTTGTCCCTTATTCCAAAAGCAACAGGCGAATTGTGGCTGGTGATGAACCTGCCTCTGTCCGACAGAAACTATAGAGGCACTATAATAGGGATTGATGTCAAGTCAAGTTCACCTCTTATCGGTAGCTAGCCAACTATGCCACAGTTGACAATATAGTGTTGAATTAGTCGTTATAATTGTCTTGAGTGTTACCATTCAGAAGATGATACATCTATGTCTAGTGTTCTACCTAGACCTAGTTTTTCAACCCAACTGATGCCGGGGACCATTGTTGTCTATAGAGGCACTATAATAGGGATTGATGTCATGTCAAGTTCACCTCTTATCGGTAGCTATCCCACTATGCCACAGTTGACAATATAGTGTTGAATTAGTCGTTATAATTTTCTTGAGTATTAGCATTCAGAGGATGATCTAACTTTGTCTAGGGTTCTACCTAGACCCAATTTTTCAACCCAACTGATGCCGGGGATCATTGTTGTTATTTCTAGATCATCGGGCAACTGCAACTCTCGTTTTTTAGGTCGCCTTATCTTTTCTTGATGTGGTGAGCCACAAGCTTTATCTCTTGGTGACATTACTTCGATATCAATGCTCGTCTTCTGAATATCACACTTCCTACCATGGCATGACAAAAATAAGGTGGCAATGGTTGTGTGTCTGTGATGGGGTTTCTATTATTGAATAGGTATGTATTATGGTTTTTATATGCTCAGTCGATGTTACACCTCCAGTTTTTAGATTTTTGTGGGTAAACCAAATAATTAGGTATAAGGAGATAGTCTTCAATCTTAATATGCCATGCAATGTGGGAAACGTAAGTCTCCAGTCAGCTGTGCTACATTGTCTGGACTAGTCTTGAAAACCGCTAGGTTTATTGTAAATGCTTGTAGACGGGTACCACTCAGCAAAAATGCATGGTTCGAGACTACTACAAAGCACATACCATAACAATATACTTTAGATTGGGTATGTGTGTTCAGATAAAATTGTTTTGACACCATTATATTCTTTTTTATTCACCTCATTATTATCATATGTAGCATGTCAAACAAATACCGTTTAGTTGTAGGCTATACTGTCAACATTTGTTTAACTTATTGAACATTTTCGACTTGCTTAAATGGGTCATCAATTTATTTACCTATTCGTCCACTTTATACGAATTCATTTAGGTGGCAAGGAGGATCTGTGATTCAGACATTTTCTAAAAAAGTGCTACTGTGACAACCTATACCTAAGGCAGATAAAGAACAGTCGTCCAGCCTACAGCGTTACGAACGTGACGTGCGTATCACTGTTCATTCGGCTGACTGAATGTGTTAGAAACTGTGTTTTCAATAGACTGAATGAAGTCAAGAATTATAATGGCGAACTGGATATTTAACACTTTTACAAAATGTTAACTCAATTGTCACTCTGGATTAATCCAGCATTGGTAGATACGTTACGGCATTGTTGACAATCCTACAGTACATGATGGTTTGACGAGGTTACGACAAAATAACTGTCAAGAATAAATCTTTACTTTTACTCACTTATGGTCTAAGTTCATAATGCTGTAAAGTCTGAAGACTACATTTAGTGATCGCAATATGAAATACGATCCTGATTCTCCAGAATACCCAAGGAATTCAGATGATAAACCAATATGGGTATACATTATTATTGAATTGTGGAGTAGTATAAAGTCAGGCTAATGAAACAGCAGTACCACCATTTGACTGTACAGTTGATGACACAGATAACTTATGATTATATAGCATACGTCAGGCTATTATATTATGAAAACATTTCAAAAAATGTCCAGGATGATAATAGTTGTTCATTATATACAATAGAAGGTTCTCTCCCATAATGCAATTCATATATTGCCATTGACATGCTCTGTAGGACCATATGTAATTCGGCCTATTTGAAGTGGATGCAAATGTAACGTTTTTACCACACTGATTTTAATCAGCTGCGCAAACTAGTAATGCACTTAACCAATAATTAATGCTAATCGCATTTTTTTTACTGATTATATTCCAAAAGCTGGATGGAAAAATTAATGACTTTTTTCCTTGATGAGCAACTTATTTGGAACATTACAATGTCTGATGTAGACCACGACTCACCAGCAAGAGCTGTTTATTATCAAACATTCTTCCGTTAGAGTTTTTTCTTATACACACATCGACCTATTTTAGTCAAACTTCATTTAATAATATTTAAATTCAGATTTTTGTGAGATTCAATACAGCCAACTACTGGCCATTTTAGGCTTGAAAGATCGTTAAATCCCAATTCATAGACGTATTCACGGAAATATGACTGAGCTTTAAATCAAATTGTGTACGATAACATAAATATATTCAAGATATGGTTATTGCAAGTTAATTACTTACTCAACCATGCATTATTTCAAATGCGGAATATCAACAGTGGTTTTGATTGTTATATGATCCGGGTCATATAAGAAGCATTACGTGTCTTTTTTTTTCAAAACATGTTTACTTCTTGGCTGAACTCACTCTTTCAATAATTGCAATGCGAAGCTACACGGATCTACAAGATTGTTCCTGATTGGCTACCCAACCCTAACACATAACCGTCAGACCAATCAGAGAGTAGCTTGTTAATTGACAGTTTTTAGATGTATCAAATTCTTCCTTGTATATTCTTGACTCGATATTTTGACTATGAATTGCGTTTTCAATTGTTGTTCCCGGACTTGTAATTTCAATTCGTGGATTATGACTGTTGATTGAGCATAGTTTTATTTCTACTTTGTCTCTGCTAGAGATCTGTATCGATATTTACAATAGTATTCATGGCTTGAATGAACGTGCGTTTTTCAGATGATAAGGATGAAGATTGTCAGAACTTTGTGGTCGTCCCAGGCAACCAGATTAGCATCTACAGTCGGTATATTTCAGCAAAACAGCATAGCCTTGTAAAAACCGATATCTACGAACAAAGATGAAACTCGTCAGTGTTTGGTGTAAACAGATAGCGTACACGAACTCGATGTTTTGCATATTACGATAACAATTTGTTCAATATGACACCATGAAAAATTACTTGGAGAAATGATACACCAAAGCATGCTCACTGCAGTGACTGTGAGCCACCTGTATTATTAAACAATGGGACAGTCATGTTTCAATCGTGCAATACAGGAACAAGAACTATGAATTATAGACAGAGTACTGCCAAGCAGATTTTAAAATGGTATTATATGCAAATCCTGCAATATTTCAGAGTGTGAAAGTGTTCAAATGTCACATTGTAGATAAACTAGATGTTAAACATACAGATTTGTGGGGGGAAACTTAAATAAAAAAGATCGACTCCGTCAAATTAGAAATCAATTTTCGAGGTCTAAGCACAACTCTCCACAGTAATTGTTTATGGTTAAATTATATGTTGTTGTAATGACATTGTCCTTGTGATTCATTTTTAACGGTATGTCTGACGATTTTCTTTAATGAATTCTGAC